TAGACCGTGGTATTTCGTTAGGCATGTAGACTTGTAGATAGTTACATGTGATCATGAGTTGTTTGTTTATATATATATATATATATATATATATATATATATATATATATATATATATATATATATATATATATATCGACATACTATGTGGTTGGCTGAGGCGTTCTAGCTTTATATAGAAGGGCAAGATGCGAGTGGACCATCTTTATGCTAAAGGCCAATGGGTAAGTTGATGACAATATCAACATTAAGTGTTGTGAGTCTAGACACTCACAAGCAGGGCTTTGATGATAAGATCAGCTAAATTTGTGTGAGCCTAGATACTTAATGTTGTTCACTGGATCGGTTTGAGTACCGAGAGCCTTGCTTGTATACATATATGTTTATTGTTGTTTATGTTATTTTAGGAGATTTATCTAACCTTCGGCATACAATTTATTGATTAAATGTTTTAGGTAATTCAAATGATTGTGGGAAGGTGAAGACATAATTGTACACACTTACCAACAGGTTTACTCTTTTGAGTGTCGTCGTTTGTCATTATACTCTGATTTTTGGATGATTGGCTTTTGGATATCGGAAAATTTTATTGATAGCCAGGAGTCAATCATTCCCTTATACTTCTTCTGATCAACAACAACACTTGATGGGTCCGAGAAGATATGGTGACCGAAATCCATTGGAACCTTTGCAGAGCCACAGGTGTCAATTGAATATTTGTTTAGAAGTTCGGAAATTTATTTCTCCTAATGAATAAAGAATCCTCTATTGGTCTACTTACCTTAAGGACCAAGGAAGAATCTTAATTCACGGTTCATGCTCATTTGGAAACAACTAGCTATTAACTTTGCAAAATCAGCAACCATTATTCAATCAGTTGATCCAAAGATGATGTCATCAAAATATATTTGAACTAACGTGTGATGGTTTAAATTTCGATCTTCGGTATAAAGTAGGATAAAGAATTCCTATTTGAAAACCGAAACACTTTAGAAAATCGGTGAGAGTCTCATACCAGGCACGTAGATCTTGCTTGAGGCCATAAAAAGCTTTTAGAAGTTTGTAACAGTAGTTTGGATATGAAATATTTACAAATTCAAAGGTTATTGAAGATACACTTCGATATCAAGTTCAACATTGAGAAAGGCCCTTTTGACATCCATTTGGTAAACTTTAAAGCCTTCGTGCGCAGCATAAGCGAGAAAGATTTGGATGGCTTCAAGTCAAGCAACAGGAGCAAAGGTATGTCATAGTCGAGTCCTTCGATCTGAGTAAATCCTTTAGCCACCAATCATGCTTTGTTTTTTATTATAACTTTAGTGTCGTCGAGTTTGTTTCATAAGACCCATCTTGTGCCAACAATAGGGTTATCCTAAGGAGGAGGGACAGGATTCCACACTTGATTTATGTCAAATTTTGCTAGTTCTTCTTGCATGGTTGTAATCCAATCAGAATGTTCTGAGGCTTCCTTGATGGTTTTTGGTTCAACCGTTGATAAGAATTTCGAGAAGTGACACTCATTTTGAATGTTAGTAGTAGAGCGAGTTTGAACACCAACATTGAGATTTCTAATGACTTGATTTAGAGGATGATCCTTTGTCCAAATATGAAATCTTGTAAGTTCTTGGGCAACAGATGATCCGATATCAAGAATGGGGTTATGTTGACCCCCCAAACGGTTTGAATTTGAGGATGATGCCCCCTCTAAACTTCTGTACCGGATATGTCGACGTCGTCATTGTTTGGAAAGTCATAGAAGTTAGCATCGTCTTCGTTGTTGTTCAGAATGGGATCAAATTCAGCGGATTTATCTATTACATCTTGAAATCCATAAACATTTGATTCGAGGGTTGGATGACTATTTTCCCCCTCAACCTAATAATATTGAAATGTATCGGAATCAAATGGAGGAAAGGTTGTGCTCGAACCAGATACATTTTGAGAAATCGCAGCTTTAGTTGATGAGGACAGTCTTGATCAAGATTCTTAATCAAGAGCAGTTTCTATTCGTCCGAACAAGCATTAGAAATCAACTTCACGGATAATTTGAGGATTTGTAGACCCAAGAGGTGGAGCATCAGACTCCATGATATGAGTTGTAACATGAGCACGATCTGAATTCCGAATAAAACTATCATCAAAAGTGGCATCAAAGCTTTATTCAATTTCATGAGTTCAACGATTTAGAACTCTGTAAGCTTTAGACTTGGCTGAGTATCCCAAAACGATACCTTCATCGGCGTTGGATTGAAACTTGATCAGTTGATCACGACTATTTTTTATAAAGCATCGTCAACCAAAAATGTGTAAGAACAAGATACCAGGTTTGCAACCATTCATTGCATCATACAGTGTCATGTTGAGACAACGATTGATGATGCTTCGATTTTGGGTGAAGCAAGAAATGGAAACATCTTCTGCCTAGAGATAGAGAGGAAGGTTTGAAAAGTTTAACATCGATTGAGCGACTTCAACGAGATTTCAGTTTCTTATTTCAACTACATCATTTTGCTAAGGAGTGTAGGGAGCTGAGAAGTTGTGTTCGATGATTTTGTCGATGATGAGTTTCTCAATGGTGACATTTGTAAATTCGGATCCTTTGTCACTTCGGATTCTTCTAATAGGAACTTTAATAAGAACTTTAATTCCTTTGATGAAATTTACACTACTAGAAAAACAGCCTTTTACGACGCTCATTGCGCGTCGTAAAACGCTCAGACGACGCACAAATGCGCGTCAAGGAAGGCATGTCATAAAGAGAGACGACGTGCTTTTGCGCGTCATCTATAGACGACGCGCATTTATGATGCGCATTTACGACGTGCGGTTATGACAAGCAATGCGTATCAAGGAAGGCCCTGTCATAAAGGAAGACAACACGCATTTGTGTGTCGTAACCTTACGACGCGCGTGTTTATGACACACAATGCGTATCAAGGAAGCCCCTGTCAAGAAAGACCATGTCATAAATGAAGATGACACACATTTTTGTGTATCATAATTTTAAATGTTAAAAATAATATTATTTATAGATTTACTAATATAACAGAAAATAAAATACCATATACAAAAAATAAAATCCATTGCATAAAATTTATTTTCATATATATAATCATTCAAATAGTAGACAAATATTTGTACATTATTAGGGGTGCAAACGAGCCGAGCCGAGCCCGATCCTGGTTAGGCTCGGCTCGATTCGAGCTTCCTTGTACTGAGCTCGGCTCGAGCTAGTAAAGAATTATACAAGCTCGGCTCGGGCTCGACTTGTTTTTTATCTAATGTGTCTAAATAAGCTTAAGTTCGGCTCGAGCTCGTTAAGAAGCTCATTTACTAATACCCTAAATCCATAATTCCCCTAATATGTTTTTATTTTAATATATTTAAATCATATTAAATGATATTATATAAAGGCTCGTTTAGGCTCGCGAGCCTAATCAAGCTTAATGACATAGGCTTGAACTCGAGCTCGTTTAATAAACGAGCTTAATATTAAGCTCGAGCTCGGCTCGGGCTCGTTTAAAATCAATTTCGAGTCGAACTTTTAACGATCCGATCTCGAGTAGCTCGCGAGTAGCTTGGCTCGTTTGCACCCCTATACATTATTATTAAGAGGTTTTCCCTAACTATAGAACCTAGGACTACATTGCTATTTCCTTAGTTAATTTGTGTACATTGTTGTAAGCAAGTTTGTATTGAAGCACCTTCCATGTAGTAGTACCCCCTTGACCAATGCTAGTATCAGAACATAAAGCACCTTTCTGCACAAAAAACAACAATCAATCAACAAAGAGTCAACATTCTTTAAAATACTATATGAACCTTCTCAAGTGATGCACATGGACCAAGAATACCCTGAATTACAATTTACAATTTACAACAAAAACAAGAACTGATTGAGTAAACCTAGAAGAATAAAATGCTAGGTCAACTTAGCTAAGTATTGAATCTATATGTAATGACTACAATCACAAATGCAAGTGATTAATGTCATTAATGGAATAATTTGTTGCCCTTGTCTTACCTTTACTAGCACCATATATCTTGTCTCATTTCACCTCCAAAATCAACAAATTCAAATATCCATGATTTGGACCTAAGAACATGGGAATACAAAGATACAAATAATATTTAATAACACTGTCCCATATATAAACACTAAGAGATGGTGATAGAAGAGAGCGAAAAATGTTATCATATCTCACGAGGGATGTCTTTCTTACAACATGTCTTTGTTGTTCAACTTGTAACTTATCCGTATGCGCATAATGATTGCTTTCTGCCATAACAATCAACATTCATCATGTAAACGATATTTTAAAAAAACACACAAACATTTCATTCCATGATGATTTATTTATAGTTACCTTGCCATGTTGAGTGTTGGTAACTCGTAATTTTTGTGTTATTGAGCCATTACCATTTGCAGGAAGAGAGTTACTGATAGCAGGTTCCAAATGCAACTGAAGAATTAAAAAAAAATAACTTTTTTTACCAAAATTTATTATAAAATAATAAATAAATAAACATACTAGGTGGTGGAGGGGTAGGACCAAATATGTCTAATAAATCCATCATAGGTGAAGGTGATGAAAGGCTGCCTAATGGAGGAACTGGAGTTTTCATATTATTAGTACTATCTTGATTTATTGATAATATATCATCATGTGGTGTACATGAACCATTTTGATGAGTAGCTGAATAAACATACCTTTGGGTTCCGGGTTTCAGTTCAAATAAAAAAGACTTCACCAACCCGTGACCCAACAATTGTGAAATTAAGTCTTTGACAAATCTCTATGTATATTACACTAAGTCAAATTAAGTCAGAAACTAAGACAACAGTTGTAATTTTGAGTAACTTTTACATGTTTTATGTGAACAAGGGTGCATTCCATTAAATTAGTGGTGTTTCATATGAACCTTGATAAAACTTCATACAATGATCATAAAAGGTAATGACTTGGTTGTATTAATTATCTAGTTGAGCAAATTGTACAATGTTAATGGGCACTACTTTTCAAGTAATGCAGAGGATAGTCAACACGCTAGTGGCATTATAGATGTACCTTTAGCTCAAACTGGTGAAGGTATTGCAGAATGTGGACTCCTCAAATGGTTTGTCCAAGATTCTACATGCTCCTGGTGACATTATAAAGGTAAAACACCGGTAGTAGTATTAACAATTTCCATATATATGGTAAAGTTATTTTGATTTGACTTTGATTTCAGGTTGGAGAAACTCTATTACAGTTGGTGGTTGATGATTTTGCAGTTCCATTTAATGATTCTGATGCATCAGTAGTTTCTGATGGGTCAAAGTCTGATGAACACAAGCTAGAGCTCAGAAAGAGTCATGCAAATGACAATTTATCCACCCCTGCTGTTAGAAGTCTTGCAAAGCAACATGGTATTGTTAGCTAATGTCACTGGAAGTGGTAAACATGGAAGAATATTGAAAGAAGATGTTCTAAAATATGGTGTAGAAAAAGGAATTATTGATGGCAAACCTGCTTTTAATCCTACTTCTATCGAACCCATGTTTGGACCTGAAGAACAACTTCAAGAGATGGCTGAATCACTTTATCATGACTATTCTCTCAAAGGTATTATTATTATTATATAAACAATAAAAATTTTCATGAATTTGATTGAAGTAAACATGTTATTAAAGTTGTCAAGTTCTTTGTTGTTAGGGCTTATCAGCGTGCAATGGTTAGGTCAATGACTACAGCTGCTAGTGTTCCTCATTTTCATTATGTGGAAGAAATAAACTGTGATGGGTTTATGAAACTTAAATCAGCTTTCCAGAAAGAGAATATTGATCCAGATATTAAATTCACATTCCTTCCTGTGTTAATAAAGTCATTATCCTCTGTTCATTTATGTTGTAACCTCATATTTTAAAAACTCATAAATAATCACATGATATAACCTTTTAGATATAACCTTTTAGGCATAAATAAATAAGCACCTTTAGAAACAAAGCTGATGCTGGTAACCGAACCCAGCCTTTGGAGGAATTATAGCAGGTGAGGCCGGCCCGTAAATGTGAAACTATTCATAAAATGAAGAATAAAAATGTGAAACTTACTACAAGCATCATGAGTACAAATCCGATCAAGGCCATTACAAATCCTGTAAATCAGTTCAAGATTACCAATTAACAATTAATATTAAGTGTTGTTTGTATAAAAAAAAGTATATAAATTACATTTTGGTTCTTGTGTATAGCTGATTTTTTTCAATTCTAGTCCAAACATGTTTTCTTTTGTATTTTTGGTCCTTATTTTTAGGTTTTTAGTTTATGTTCCAATTAAAATGACTAAAATTTTGGGACCAAAAGTAGTCATTTACTTGGTATAGGGACCGAAAATGTTACAAGAAACCTCAAGTAAGACACAAAATTGCATAAAAAAAAGAAACAACTTTAATTAAGGATGAAAAATGTGATTTAGTTTTAATAAAAAACAGTCCGTTACCAAAATATGGAACTGTTAAAACTACAAGTAGTGTGAAGAACACCAAAATAGAATCACAATTGCCAATGTTACAACTCCAAAAGCTGCTCAAAAAAACCTCTGGAATTAGTCCCTTTATAACAGTCAGGGATAAAAAAGTAAAATTACTGAAGGATATAGAAATTAGAACCTAAAATATAGGAGAGTAACTGAGGTTTCTCAGCCAAACTATTGGAAGGATAACAAGTGTGGATATAATGGCACATAAGTAATGAGAATCAAGATGTATACCACACAAGAAGACCGTAGTATTAATTAACACACAATTAAAATTGTTAATTAGATACAATCATGCAATGGAAATATGAAATTAATATTCACATATGAAATTAATAGTCACCACATGCTTGTTCTAGTGATAATTGGTCAGAATTCATACCAGAGAACCCTTTGTTTTTACTTGTTTAACAAAAACCTTTAAGTGCTCTACTTAAATGCAAATGTGTTCTTTTTCTTTCTAAAACAGTTTGATTTACACATTTAAAACAAGAAAACAAAGTAAAAGAGGGAGGAAGGAGTCATAGGTACTCTTATTGCTACAGAAGGATTTGGTCTACCCCTTCCTTGTTCTCCCTAGGCCTGATCTGAATGCCCCTTGAGTCTGGCTTTGTTGCTCACATATTTTTCTATTGATTGTTGCTAAGAATGACATACATGATAGAAGACTGAGATATCTACTCTTCAAGTGAAAATTTTATACAGTCATGGATATTTAAAAATAAACACTACGAATTTTTCATATAAATTGCGATATCCTTATGTGTTCTTCTTCTAGATTTGATAATTTACACTGAAAATTGATCACGGTTGCATAGAGATTTGATATACTTTGAAACATAATTGGTAAATGCTCGAAATGAATGAAGAGAACCTGTAAGTTTGAGGCCAGGGATCAATGGAACAGCTTTGAGATTGAGAAGCGGTGATGAAGCCGGAATTGTTTTCAGCGGAGATTAATTCACTGTTGGATCCGGTTTCATCATCGTCGTTATCCTCGCCATCGCAATGTAAATATACAACCTCCTCCCTGAACCCAAAGCCTGAGCACGATTTCTCTCAAACAAGACAACATAGGATAAAGGCTATATAACACTTTTTAGATCTTATGAAGCCTGCATTGAAATGATGAACAGCACATCATATAAAACAAGTAGTGTGAATGTTAAAGAACCAAAGATTACTACATTCTATTAATATATCAGATAATGGCAGCAAATTTCGTTTACACTACACTACACATTTCTTTTGTTTGTGTATTAAGCTTGTATTCATATACTACCGCAGTCACACTATATATGGTGGAATACACATGCATGATGCACCCCTCTTATTTGGATGAAGTCATAAGCATGCATTTCAAGGCCTCTGATATTACCCAAATATATTGCACAAGTTGACAGATAGGTTGAGTTGAGCAGCAGAGTATCATTCTCATCTTCTCCTGTGGTGTTAAAATAACAACCTCCAGTTTTGTCAGGGAATACCTCATCCTATAAACCAGATAAAGAAAACAAGTAAAAATTTGGTTCACGAAATAGAAATATATAATAACAGAGTTCGCGAGATGGAATACTTTTGTTTCTTAAAGTTCAATTGCCCAAGATAACCATGAAATCTCACGACCATACTTATACACATCTAACAACCCTGAAATCAAGATGCATAATCACCCAAGATTCCTGGAGCTTCTGAAGGTCCTTTCCTGAAACTGTGTTGCAGCCTTCTAGATTGGGGATCGTAAAGATTTTCCTTTATGAACACCAAAGATCTCTTTGCAACCTCCATGTACTCTTGTGGCTAAATTTACAAAATTAATTAATTTAAAACATGAAAATGAGTAAACTTTTTCATCTTTATTTCAAGATTCAATCTTACATCAATTCAAGCAACATGAAAATTGAATTTTGTTACATCAGGTTCGTTCTTGACGATCTTGGATGCTCTAGCATATGATGAAACTACAAGTCCGTTCCAATATACAATGACCTTTGGATTTGGTCTGTTAAGCAGAAATCAAAAGAATACCCCTGTGATAAATATTTTCTTCCTTATCAGTTTTAGGGTTCCTCCTTAAAAAAGACAAAGAACAAATGACAAGAATACCTTTGCGATAAATATGTTCTTCCTTGCGATAAATATTTTCTTTTTTTCAGCAGTCCTACTGTATCTGATGAATGAATATAGAGTAATACCTCTTTCCAAATGAATGAATAGAATAAGTAGAGAACCTAGCAAGTTCCCAAGAGAGATCAAACTCCAATGTCGCAAGTACAAAGATCACAATTGACAGGACTCAGTGAAAAAAGACATTTTTTAACCAATGGTAATGGACTACTATCAACTTGTGGGGTCCCTTTCTCACCATTTCCTCCTACTTCCACTTTTTCTTTATTATCAGCGTGCAATAAACTAACCCCTAGTATAGGTGATCTTGGCTGGTCTTCAACAACTATATCAGCTTCCTGTGTGGTAGGAGATGATATTTCCACATCAGCAATTGATTATGCAATATGAAACAAGAATTAGTTATGATATTTTACTTGATTCCTAGCATTATTTGTGCCTCAAAGGTATAAAAAAGAGACAAACATCAGGAATTACATGGAGCCCTAAACGTTGATTTGTTGAAGGAGAATTAGAAACCAGGAATAGGTCTGAATCATAAGAACAAAAACACAAAAATTATAAGTAAAAGTAAACCGTAGATATTAGATGAGAATAAGACCTACAAGAGAGCTTTAGTGAGTAAAGGGTTTTGAATCAAGATTTGTCTCGCTTGATCCTGGTTCTGTTCAAATACAAATCTAATTTAGTCTAAACTCCTCGCATTCATTTAACACCAGCAACGGCATACATTGAACTTATTGTAAATTTTGGGAAAAAATAGAGGAAACATCAATTTGAAAAGAAAGAAAAAGACAGAAAAAGAGGGGTTTGTATTTTTACCTTCATCTGGGACATGGTATCATAGAGTTGATTCTTTGACATTCTGGGGATATTCACCGATAGACCATCACCAGCGACCTGATTTCCGGTGAACTTATCTCAATGTTTGTATCTTGTAGCAGATATGGGATATCTTCAAGCGGAGATGTACAACAGGCCGATACGGCGGGGATACTTTACTCATCCAGTACAACCGGACAAATCAAGGGTGTCGATCTAACCCACAAGAGTTTCATCACCGTAACATCCACCGCACACAATAACAGATTCAAGAAAAACAAGATTTCCCCTCATGAACACCCTGTCTCATTGTTTCCCTTGCCTCTATTTTATATTTTCGGATTCTTTATATAAAGACCGCCAAAGAAGTGATCGATGCCAAAAAAATATGGGGAAACGAAAATCACTAAAATCGCATGAGAGTGTCCATGAATTTTAGGGAAAATACCACCGGTTGTTGGGGTTTTTCTTAGTAGCGGGATTTTTTATAATTCTTTTGGGATTTCATTCTGTAATTTTTGGGAGTGCAATTCGATCATTGATGGTAGAACAGTTTTTACAGAGAATGAAGATCTAGAGGAGAGGGTGAGGATGCGTATCACGGGTGGTTTAAAATAGTGATGGGGGTTTTGTTATCGGTGTAGTGCGACAGGAAAGAATGGTTGGAGAAGATGGTCGGAGACACTTGGCGGTGCGAGATCGTAGGTTGGGTGGTGGTGTGATGCTGCTATGAAGACGAAGGCCTAGGGTTTTTTCTTGCTGATTGGAAGAGGGGGGTTCATTTTTGGGATTCAATAGGCAGGTGAAATCCTGCCTTAAAAACGCGCATTTCATTAAAATGTTATAAAGCGACACATTTAGACGACACACATTTTATGAAAGGCACCCTCCGCATTTCCCTTTTTTTATTTTCTAACACTAATTTTAGGGCACGCACAAATGCGTGTCCTCTATCCTTCAAATTTTGCAAAATTGACATTATTTTTTACGGCATGCACAAATACGCATCCTCTATCAGCGAGTGTCATTGTTTGCACGTCATTAAAGGGTTATTTTCTAGTGGTGTTATGAGTTCAGAGGTTGTTTAGCCTTAGAAAGAAGACCAAAGTGAACCTCATGTAGTCATCAACAATCACAAGAAAATACTTTTGTGATGTAGACTTTTTATAGTGGATGGTCCACATAGATCAATATGAAGAAGTTCTAGTGGATCCGAAATGGACTTTTCAGTGATGACATGATGACCTTTCTTTGATTTCTAACCACACTCACATGCAGCATAGAGATGATCATTTTCAAATTTGAGGAGTGGCAGACCTCGAACAATTTCACCGGAAACTAGATCATTCATGTATCATAAGTTGAGATGAGTGAGCCTTTGATGTCATAGCCAACTTATGTTAGGAA